TAGCCGGGTGTGGTAGCATGTGCCTATAGTTCCAGCTACTTGGAAGGCTGAGGTGGAAGGGTTGCCGGAGCCCAGCAGGTTGAGGCTACAGTGGCCGGGAGCGGCCATTGCACTCCAGTCTGGGTGACAGAGTGAGACTCCAACTCTGCTGAAAAAATTTAAAAATTAGTGGTGAGCCATGATCATGCCACTGCACTCCAGCCTGGGCAACAGAATGAGACCTGACTCAAAGACACATGTGCATGCATGTACACACACACACACACACACACACACACACACACACACCAGTCTCTGCCTTCAACACAGTTCAACACACACACACACACACACACACACACACACACACACCAGTCTCTGCCTTCAACACAGTTCAACCCTTGTCCCAGGCAGTGTTACTGCACCCATGAGTTAACCCTGGAACAGTTCCATAAGCCCTGCCTGCCACTGTTCAACCCTTGCCACTGTACCCATGAGTTAACCTTTGGTTAACAGTCCCATCAGCCCTACCTGCCGGCGCTGCAGCTGCTGTAGGCCATGTTGCCGCTCTTCCTCTGAGTTGTAGAAGGGCATGGAAGTGCGCAGTGGAATCAGGAGCTGACATATCTTCTCGTGGATGCTGCACCAGTCAGCTCTTTGATGTACCACACCACTGACAATAAAAACAAGGACTTCATTATCTTTATCTTTGACCTGAACTAAGACTCTATTAACCCTCCTACTGGCCTGCTGTGGTTAATCTGCTAATTATTATTATTATTATTATTATTGTTTTGAGTTGGGATCTTACTCTGTTGCCCAGGTTGGAATGCAGTGGCCCAATCTTGGGTCACCACAGCCTTGATGTCCCGGGTTCAAGCAATCCTTCCACCTCAGCCTCCCAAGTAGCTGATACTACAGGCATGCACCAGGATGCTTTACTAATTTTTTTGTAAAAATGGGGTCTCACTATGTAACCTAGGCTAGTCTCAAACTCTTGGGATCAAGCAATCCTCCTACCTTGGCTTCAAAAATGCTGTGGGCATGAGCCACTGCACTCAATTAATCTGCTTTATTAATAACAACAAATACAACTTTGACTCTATATTATTCTAAGGTCATTTTCAAGATGTCTGATGGATTTAGGGTATTTTTCTTGGGGATAGGAAAGGAATTTACATTTGATGAGGCTCTAGGAGACCCTTTAACCAGTAACATACCATGTGGCATGGCTCCAAAGAGCACCACTAATATTGTCTTCTGTGTTCCAGGGGACCACTCATAGAAAGCACTGTGAATGCCCCTAAACCCCAGTGGTGCAGCAGTTGGTCTTGCATGTAATTATTTAACTCTTTTGAAAACAAACAACATCTATTATTTTCATTTTAAAGATAAGGATGCACAGGTGTGACTAGATTACGGCATCCCTCTAATCCTGTACTTCAAAGCAGGTTTTTTTCTTTTAGGCCTCCAGAAGGAAGCACTGTGAGCTTTTCTGACTATTATATATGCATATTTAGTGTTCTTAAAAACTCAATTGGATTGCACAAATATAGAACATTTGCATCACTGCAGAAAAATATGTAATGGAGAGCACTCTTACAGAGTATCCATTACCATTCCTTAAGTAATTGCCTCTATTTAATCAGTCACAGGAGTAGAGTTTTTTAAAAAAAATTGCTCCTATGAATGACTCCCAAATCTATTACCGAATTCTGATCCTTCCTCCAATCATGTGAGGTTTTTTGAAAAAAACATTTTCAATTGTTAAAACTCGTATTTTTTAAATGTGAAATGTGAATTGTTAAAATTCACATACCATAACATTTATCATTTTAAAGGATATAATTTAGTGTTCATTAGTATATTTACAAGGTTGTATAGCCTCACCCTATTTGATTCCAGCACATTTCTGTCACTCCCCCCATAAAAAGTGTACCTGCTAACAGTCATTCCCATTCTTCCCTTCTCATATTGATGCCCAGAAACCACTAGTCTACTTTATATCTCTGAATATTCTGGATGCTGCATATAAATGGAAACAGACAATATGTGGTCTTTAGTGTCTGGTTCTTTCACTTAATATTTTCAAGGTTTATCCATGTTGTAGCATATATATTTTGTTCCTTTTTATGACTGAATAATATTCCACTATATGGATAGACCACATTTTGTTTATCCATTCATCAGTTGGTGAATATTTGGGTTCCTCTCCCCGCCTCTTTTTTTTTTTTTTTTTGCTATTATGAATAATGCTGCTATGAACGTTTGTATACAAATTTTTGTATGAACATTTATTTTCAGTCTTTGGGGTATATACCTAAGAACGGAATTGCTGGGTCATATAATAACTGTTTAACTTTTTGAGAAACTGCCAAATTGTTTTCCACAGTGACTGCACCACTTTACATTCCCACCAGCAATGTATGAGGGCTCCAATTTCTCGATATCCTCACCAACACTTTTTTTTCTTTTTTCTTTTGACATCCTAGTAGATGTGGAATGGTATCTCATTTTGGTTCGATTTGCATTTCTCTAATGACTGATAATGTTGAACATCATTTCATGTGTTAATTGGCAATTTTTATATCTTCTTTGGAGAAATGTTTATTCAAATCCTTTGTCCATTTTTAAAAAACTGGGCTTTTACAACTGTGTATCTGACAAAGTCCTAGCATCTAGGATCTACAAGGAACTCAAACACACCGAAAGGAAAAAAACAAACAGCCCCTTTAAAAAGTGGGCAAAAGACATGAATAGACAATTCTCAGAAGAAGATACACGAACAGCCAACAGACACATGAAAAAGTGCTCGGCCTCACTCATTATCAGAGAAATGCAAATCAAAACCACATTGAGATACCACCTAATCCCAGTAAGAATGGCCATCATTAATAAAACAAACAACAACAGATGTAGGCGAGGATGTGGAGAAAAAGGAACACTTCTACACTGCTGGTGGGAATGCAAACTAGTGCAACCTCTTTGGAAGACAGTGTGGCGATTTCTGAAAGAACTAGAAATTGACCTTCCATATGACCCAGCAATTCCCTTATTGGGAATATACCCGGAGGAGCTCAAATCATTCTACAAAAAAGATACCTGCACACGTATGTTTGTTGCAGCTCTATTCACAATAGTAAAAACATGGAACCAACCATGTCGCCCATTGAAGTTGGACTGGATAAAGAAAATGTGGCACATATACACAATGGAATATTATGCAGTCATAAGGAAGGACAAATATACGGACTTCGCAGCAACTTGGTTAGATTTGGAGTTGATCATACTCAGTAATCTATGACAGAAACAAAGAACAGAGTACCATATGTTCTCACTCATAAGCAGACCTTGAACAATTATAATACTATAAGAAAACATTTAGCAGTAATGGGAAACTGTCAAGGGAGGGGGGTGGGATTGGCAGTTGAGGGAAACTGCTAGGGGAGGGAGGGGCATACCTCATCAACAAGGGTACCTGCATAATCAATGTTTGTATACCTAACCCTGAATTGTACCCCACATCTTTATAATAAAAAAATAAAATAAAAAATAAATTTTAAAAACTGGGCTTTTAGTCTCTTTATTGTTGAATTTTAAGGGTTCTTTATATATTTGGGGTACTAGATCTTGATCAGATATATGATTTGCAAGTATTTTCTCCATTCCATAAGCTGTCTTTCACTTTCTTGATAGTGCTTTCTGATGCACAAAAGTTTTTAGTTTTGATAGAGCCCAACTAATCTGTTTTTTCTTTAGTTCTCTGTGCTTTTGATGTCATATGTAAGAAACTGTTGCCTAATCTAAGATCATGTAGATTTACAACTATGTTTCCTTCTAAAAGATTTCTATTTCTAGTTCTTACATTTAGATCTTTTTGTATATAGTCAATTTTTGTACATAATGGATGGTAGGGGTCCAAATTTATTCTTTTGCATATTGATATCCAGTCATCTTAGCACCATTTACTGAAGGAATCATTCTTTCCCCACTGGATGGTCTTGGCATCCTTGTTGAAAATCAAATATAGGTGTATGAGCTTATTTCTAGACTCAATTCTATTGTCTTGATCTATATATCCATCCTTATGCCAGTACAACACTGTCTTCATTACAGTAGCTTTGTAGTAAGTTTGGAAATTGAAGAGTCCTCTTTGTTCTTTTTCAAGACTGTTTTGGCCATTGTAGGTCCTTTGCAATTCCATATGAATTTTAGGGTTAGCATGCTCATTTCTGCAAAGTGGCAGTTGGAATTTTGATAGGAATTGCATTAAATGTGTAGACCAATTTGGAGAATGTTGCTACTTAATATATTGTCTTCCAATATATGAATACAGAATATCTTTCCATTTATTTGTCTTTAATTTCTTTCAACAATGTTTTATAGTTTTTAATATACAAATCTTGTCCTTCTTTGGTTAAATTTATTTCTACGAATTTTTTAAATGCTACTATAAATGGAATGGCTTTATTTAATTTTCAGATTTTTCACTGCTAGTGTATAAAAATACAGCTGATTTTTGCATATTTATCTTGCACCCTATAACCTTACTGTATTTATTTATATATTCGCTCTAATAATATTTTTGTGAGTAATTTAGGGCTTTTTATATACAAGTGTGTTAGTCAGGGTTCTCCAGAGAAACAGAACCAATATTTATTTATTATGGGAATTGGCTCACACAATTATGGAGGCCGACATGTCCTACAATCTGCCGTCTGCCAGCCAGAAAACCAGGAAAGCTACTAGTGCAATTCAGTGGAGTCTGAAGACCCAAGAACATGGTGCAGGTGGGGGATGGAGGAGGAGAATGAGGTGACTGCTCAGAGTCCAAAGGCCCAAGCCAGGAGCCCCAGTATCCTAGGGCAGGAAAATATGGATGTCCCATTACGAGAGAGTGAATTTATCCTTCTTCTACCTTTTTGTTCTATCAGTGTGGAAGTCCTCAAGGGACTGGATGATCCCATCCACACTGGTGAAGGTGATCTTTACTCAGACTACCAATTCAAATGCAGTCTCCTCTGGAAATACCCACACATACATATCCAGAAATAATGTTTTACCAGGTATCTGAGCATTTCTTAACCCAGTCACATAAAATTAAACACAGCACCTGCAAAAAAGACGTAGTTTTACTCTTTTTCAAAGCTGGATGTCTCATATTTCACTGTCTTGTCTAATTGCCCTGACTAGAACCACTAGTACGATGTAGAACAGAAGTGGTGAAAGTGACACTCTTGTGGCATTCCTGTTCTTACAGGGAAAGGCTTTCAGTCTTTGAGCATTAAACATAATGTCAGCTATGCATTTCTCTATGGGTTTTCCATAGATGACCTTTACCAAGTTCCAGAAGTTCCCTTCTATTCCTAATTTAAGTGTTTTGATCACAAAGGTTGTTAGATTTTGTCAAATGCTTTTTCTGCATGTATTGAGATGACCATATGATTTCCGTCCTTTATTCTATTAATATGGTGTATTACATTGCTTAATACTTGTATGTTGAACCAATTTTGAATTCCTGGAATAAATCCCACTTGGTCATGATGTATAATCCTTTTTGTATGTTGCTGAATTGTTTGCTAGTGTTTGTTAGAGATTTTTATATCTATGTTTATAAAGGATAGTGGTCTGTAGTTTTCTTGTGATGTCTTTATCTAGTTTTGGTATCAGGAT